CACACACACACACACACACACACACACACACACATGCTAACTTTTTTTTACTTCAATAATTATAAAGAATAAATGATTAGCTTTCTGTCAAATCATACTCACACATTGACTTGGTCAGCAATTCTCTGCCACGCTAACTCTCTTTCTCTTGCAGCGGCAACAGTTTTGCTTTTTTTTGTTAAATATATGTTGGTATTGTCCGTATGCCGTCATTAATATTTCTAGTTCCAGTGGTGAGAAATATGGACTTCTATTCTTCCTGTTTTCTGCTGTTTCCGTGGTGAATCACATTATCTGACTTCCACTGATAAGGGCTTCTTAAATACTTGAGCTGAAGGGGTAACTTCACTCCAAGTTAAGTTACCCAATTGATATCACCCGTTGTGAAACCAAAAATCCTGAGTATCACAGAGCAGGGTAAGTTGATTCAGAGTATCTGTGTTAACCCAGAGTTGGTTGAGCCTGCTTTCTGAAACGGGGCTCTGCTCATGTAGGTATCCTTGTTAATGAAAGAGCAGATAGATTGGCTAGGGAAGTTGTTAGAAAAGTAGATATTGATATGAATATACAGTTTTCTAGATCTGAAGGTAAAAGTATAGTTTGGAAAGAAAGACATGGAAAATGAAATGGGACAATGAGACAAAAGGGAAACGTTTATATATATAGAGTTCAAAATACAGTTGACATTACAAGAAATAGAGGAATGAATAGGAGGGAGGAAATAGTTATAAATAAAATAAGAACTAGGGCTACAACGATTAATCGATGACTAATCGATTATTAAAATAATCGATGACTAATTTAATAATCGATTAATCGTTTTCTTTTTTTGTTCTTTACTTTGTTTTTCTCTCCAAACTGCTTTGACACCTTCCACTGCCACATCTYCCTTTCTGTCCTTGACACACATGCACAGTAGTGGTAACTGGGGTAGGCCGTGGACGTCACAAGACATTATACAGACAGGCTCTGATATCATGGCTACCTGACAACGGAGCTCAAAAGTGTGGGATCATTTTAAGAAAATGAAAGAGAAACCTGTGTAATATCTGCAGAGCAGAACTTCCACAGCTATTATTTTTAGTTAGCATATAGCTAACATCTAACGATGTTTATACATTAGCAGCTGCATTCTGACGTGATAAGCTTTATGTTTTATATTCAATTAACGTATGATCCGATTAGTCGACTAATCGAAAAAAATAATCAGTGATTAATCGATTATAAAAAATAATCGTTTGTGGCAGCCCTAATAAGAACTGATCATAGTTTTTTGAATGGAACTCTTTTTAAGATGGGAAACATCCCAATGGTTTGTGTGATTGGTGTGGTGTTGAGGAAACTATGGAACATGTGTTTACTGGTTGTAGGACATATAAGAGACAAAGAAGAATGTTAAGTATGGAAATGGGAAGTAGTGGAGAATAACTACTTCCCATTTATTTCACACAAATCAGCAAAAATAAAATGCACATTGTGAGAATTCTGTAATGAGCCTCCCAACAAGCCGGGTCAGCAGGATCAGGAGAAAACACCAAGCTGACGAGCTGCACTGCTGGGACACAAGGACCGGCTGCTGGAAGCACTGGAAGCTAACCAGAACAGAACCCTTCATGCTTTAGTCTTTATGAACATATCTCATGGTTCTTCCACACTGGAGCTGACCACCAGCTGTTGGTGAGGGACGGGTCATGTGCTCTTTTACCAGAGCCGGCTCTTGGCATAGGCGAACTAGGTGGTCGCCTAGAGCGCCATCTGCTGGAGGGGGCGCCGAACTGCAGAAGAAAAAAAAGTAATCATTTGTAATCCCTGGATGTAACTCTGCTAAGCACCCCTTTCAATTAGCTTTGTCTTAAAAAACTATAATGAAGTTCAAAACTTATTTCTACCAGCAGAACAGGTTGGCAGATGGTTATTTAATGTTATTTATTGTTTTTTAAATCATCCTACAGGCTCTGACATGTTACATAAATTTTAAAATGAGGTAATGAAAAAAATTGCAAGATTTGAAAAAATCCGTAAGATTGCGCTATACGTCCGTCCATCCATCCATCCATCCATTTTCTTCCGCCTATCCG